GAATTTCACTGACTGGATTATAGTAGTTTTGTGAGTAATTATTCCACCAACTCTGTAGTCACCATATCCAAATTTATCTGCACAAATGATTTCAAAGGATTTTAACCTCATCAGAAGAAAAGTTAAATTTAACCCAGAATCAAACCCTCTGGTAAATTGTTGAGGTCCACCGCTTATAACAAGAACTTTTCTAGGTTCATTTTGTGAACATGGGTAATTTATGGTATTGTTGGCATAGGATTGAAATGTTTCTATGTGAAAATAGAGGGCCATTTATGGAAACTATCATTCACATACTAATTATAGGTCAAAGTGGGGCTATTCCATTGGTAAATTAGATGGTGGATTAACCCAACAACCTAGCCAACTGTCTATCCAGCAGGCCATGGAAACTGCTTTGAAAGACAGTGAAAAATCAGTCAGTTCAGCCAGTGTTTAGCTCTTTCATACAATCCTTTTTAACTGCAAGCGAAGGTTTGTGGTTGCATATACCACAGTTCCCTGCACAGATTGGTTTCCTCTCTCCCTCAGCAAAATCCTATTCATTGTGTGGGGTAGCCCTTAAACTAAGACAGTTCACAAAGTTAAAATCAGTAACCCTAATTCTTTTAAAAATCCAACCTGATTTGATTTTGGAAAATAGGTCCTGACATATTTATTTCTCTACTTTTTCTTTTTGGGTGTTTTAACCAGGAATTTTATGGGCTTTTCCAGGCCTTAGGGCAGCCTGGCCCCTCTGATAACACAACTTATGGCTGGATTTCTATCCAGACCCGCTCTCCTCCCTGCCCCATCCCCTCCCCACAAAACTTTAGAAGAGAGTTTAAATTATATGCTATGAGGAAAGTTTGCTCAGTTACCTTTAGGATCTGCTGCCTGTCATTGTGTTGTTTTGAGGGAGTGGATCATTCTTTTTGGAAAGGTAGAAAAATGAAAACAAAGAGGAGATTTGATTGCCTTTGACAATTTGCAGTTTTCTGAAGCAGGAAATTGGAACAGTAAAGCCCTGATCATCTCGGGGATGGTTATTCAGCTTGAGTTAGTCCATCTCCCTTGTTTTTTTGCTCCTCTGTCTTTTGTTTCCAGAGCTGGAGGATATTTCATTGCTTGTTAGAACCACCACCCAGGGATGTGCACAGGAAGAGAAAACTAACTCGATCTAGTCCGCATTTAAAATGGAAACTGTCCTCTTCTGACTGGGGAGAACAAATAGGTTGAAATTGACAGTGAATCCAAAAATGATGTAACAAATCGGAAAGTGCCTAGCACAGGCGCTACACATAATAGGAATTTAGTAAGTGGGGTTTTATAATCCACACGGCAGTCTTCTCCCACCCTTGACCAGTGGTTCTCAGCCAGAGGATATTTTGCCTCCCCTTCACAAGGGACATTTGGCGATCTCTGGAGACCTTTTTGATTGTCATGACTTGGGGATGATATTGATATCTAGTGGGTAGAGACCAGGGTTTCTGTTTAATATCCTGCAGTGCACAGGGCAGTCCCCATGATAAAGAATTATCCGGCCCAAGGTATCAATAGTGCTAAGACTGGAACACTCTGCTGTAGATAATGAGCCTGCGCAGTCTATTTTTAGTACAATAAAAAGTAAGTGATGTTGTTGATCCTTACTTGACTATGTTTAAAATGATTTGTTTGCAAATATGTTTATATAGCTCTCCATTCACTGCCTCTTTGTGTTTCCAAAGTTAGTCTAGGTAAGTTTCCTTAACAATGAATACTCTCTGTCAAAACAAAAGTTTTTAAGTATTGCCAGTACCTCAGGACCGGCCCCTTTAATGCGCTGAAAGAAGTTGATTTACACAAATCCAATTTGCCCCTCACTCTTCAGAGACTTACATAAAATCAGGAGCACCTTCGAGGGATGTTTTTGACTTTGCCCCTCATCTCCTCCTCTCTCAAATAGATACTAAGATACGTTCCAGTTGCCTAAGAATTTTTTCAGTCTATAGAGATAGTCCACTTGCCTGTAAATACTGCTTAAAGTGAAATAAACTCTCTTTTAAAATAAGATCTATAAATAAACAAGAGGCTAATCCCCTCAAGAATTTAGACTATGTCCAATTCCCTTCTTGTCACATTCTTAACTGGACCCAGGCAGGGTTCTTAAGACAGACCAAGATGTTTGGCTTTCCTTTTGCTCTGTGTCAACCAGGCCTCGTTAGCTTTCCCAGTCACCAGCTACCTTAACATAACCTCTCCACCTCAAGTAGCCCTCAAAATGTAAGATGGTGGCACAAGAATAGAAGCTGACAATATAAGCATTATTAATAGCAGAGTGGAAAATCCAATGTGTTAGACCAAACAAGCTGATCTCATCATGTTTCTTTTGTGTGTTGGAATGCCAAGAGACAACTGACAAACAGATTTGAGGTTTGAGGCCATGGTTCGAATGTAGTCTATAGCTGGCTGACTTTGTGGGTCTTTTGTCAGACAGAACAACATATGGTCTGGCTAGTATTCTAAGTATGGAAAGAGTTCTAAGATAGGAACAATCTAATGGCCTACTGTTGTTGGGAATGTCTTTAGCATTTCGCTTAACCCACTGTGGCAGTTCACAGATTGTTTGGAATGCCCAAAAAGAGACAGGAAATTCTAGCCAATGGAACTTTTTGCAACAAGGTAATGTTATATATCTACTATGTCCAATTCACTTGACCACTAGCTATCTGTGGCTATTAAGAACTTGAAATGTGGCTAGTGCAAATGGCTAATTTATCCTAAAGAAATGAATTTCTAATTTTACTCAATTTAAATAGCCACATGTCCTCGTGGCCACTATAATAAACAATGTCAATCTAGGAAATACTAACTCATTATTCCTCATCTTAGTTACAGATATCTTCATTCCTTTTTCTTTTTTTCTCAATTCTAAATATAACAAAATTAAAGAATATTTAGAAAATAAGGGGAAATTCTGTTTACTACCCATAATCTCATGAGCCTAATATAATTGTTATGAATTTGGTAAATTTTCAAGGTTTTTTCTATGTATTTTTAGGTGAGTTGGATATAATTTATCTTATTTTGTTTCATTTTTATTGTATCTATTATAACCAGGTTTTTTTACTTAACATTATGAGAAGAATATATTTCTGTACTACTAAATAATATTCACAAGGTATTAGAGCTAATGATTGCCTGTTTCTTAGATTGTGGTACCATAGTTTGTTTATTTCCTCTATTTTCGAAACTTTGGGTTGTTTCATTTGTTTGCTTACTTGCTTGCTTGGTTTTATGGTCATCATAGTATAATGCTGTAGTAAACATATGAAAGCATGTTATTCCTCCTCCTTAGAATACATTTACATACCAAGTGTTTGAGTCTTATTCGGGTAATGGTTTACATGGTGAATCATTTCACTACCACAGATTCATTTTGGAAAAGTACTTTTTTCACTATTCATGTGAATAATAGACTTTAAAGCTGCCCAGACGAAAGAAAGTCAAGACTTTTCTCTCTGCAGCGTAATTAATTCACTAAGTTATGAGGCAGATTACTTTTCCTTCCCATGTAACAATAAAAATTGCTGATAAAATGTACCTGCACGCAGGGCTGATGACATAGACCTTTGCTTTTCAAATGGGGAATAAGTTCCCAGGCATAAATCCTGCAAGTAAAATATTGTACGTATTCAGATAATCTCTAGAATTTCTAGAATTTATTAACAGATGGTTTAAAAAAAGATTGGAAAAAGATGGTTTAACAAGATGAGAAAATTAACGGAGGTTAAAAAAAAACACTCCTTTTTATCTTGTTCCTTGTAAATATATATAGTTATTTATTGTTACATCTCCAAACTATCCTTTTTATAATTTAAAGCAATATGAGTACAGTCCAAGGAAACTTCCACATATTTTACAATTAGTAATTATCCTGAAGATATTGGCTTAAGACATTTTATATTTTGCATAGTGATAAACTGTCTTGTGATTTTAAAATTTCTTTTAAACTGAATTCTATATTCTGTTGGCTCTGATCATCAAAGAGCAAAGGGATTCTACCCATAGCACGGGTAAATTAGAGATATAACGTACTGAATATGAACCTGAAGCAATTGAATGTTCTCATTATTCATCATTTAGGATTTAGTGTCTGTAACATCTCTTTGTCTTTGTTTGAATTGATATTTATATTCAAGGATTGAACACGGAGTGAGTCACCTCGTGCTCATTAAACGTCAGGTTATACGTGTGAAGCAGCTTTGGAAACTGCGAAGTACAGTGAAAATCTAATAGAAATGCTTTGAAAAGTGCTCTTTGCTCCTCCTGTGTATGAAAAGGAGACTTTAAAATTGGCCTAATGGAAAGAAGTCTAAGCCTTTCCTCTCTCTCTCTAGCACAGTGAATTTAATAATTTATGGTATGGATTTGTTTCCTTCACATACAAGAGTAAAAATGTTTGGCCTGATAAAATGACTGTGTTTAGGGCGTTTATTAGTGTTACCATCCAGTGACATAGATCTTTTCTTTGGAAATGGAACACAAGTTTCCAGATGGCAAATCACTGGGAATTTGTTCACAATATGAATGAAGCACATGGCCAGAAAGTTATTTCCAAAAAATCAATAGTGTTTGTACTGGAAATGTTTGTAACAACGCTTAGAATACCGTCAACTCTGTATGCACTTTGTGAATTATCTGGGGAAAATATTTAAAACCTGATGGATTTTCCTCTGCCACCCAGTTAACTTCTCGCTTTCCTCTTTCAATTCTTTAAAGAATGCAAACTGATTTCAGCATTAGTATACACAATATATCATTATGAGCCTGACTCTGCTTAAGAAAATAATGGAAGTAATCCTGGGGTCATATCTAAATGGTTAACCATTGCTCACACCACTGTGATCTCTAGTTCTTATGGACAGCGGAGAGGTGTCTATAGTATGCTTATGCCTGTTTATTGTGCTTAAGTAAATTTCAGGTAAGAGCTTCCAATTTTAGGTTAACATAATTCACAGTTTTACTTTTCTGAATTGCAGGTGGTTTTCATGAGCCTATGCAAAAGTTTTTGGGACTGTGGACTTGTAGCCCTGGATGACATTACGGTAGAATTGGGAAGCTGCTGGTCTCCAGGTAAGAGCCATCGTTTCAGCTCTCTTGTCTCCCTGGGCTGTATGTGGCACACCTTGTTTCTCTAAGAACATATCACATACATTTAATCTGTGCTAGTTTATCCTTTGCTTTTCTTGCCAGAAGTGTCTCTCTACAGAGCTGTATAGTAAGTTTTGGAATTTAGAAATGATGATTCGAATGCAGTGTGTGACTTTATACGTATGACTTGACCCCTGTATCCTCATCTATAAGAGAGGTAGTAATACCTACCTAAATACTGGGCATAATACCTATAAATTCTCTAGTATAGGACCTGGCACAAAACAGTGCTTTAAAAACAAATACTTTCTATTATAATTACTATTGTTATTATTGTTGTTGTCTTACACAAGTGCAAGTTTTCCAGCAATATCAATGAAACTATTATTATACAAACACTATACTAAACATATGATTTTCAAGTGGTAATAGAATAAATATTTTCTAAGTGAGTTAAATGACAGTGGAACAATGGACCAAGCATTGATAACAGTGACAAATTAAATATGGTGGCTGTGTGTTGGACATTATGTGTAATGAGAAAATGGTGCATACCTCAACCCAGATCATTGGTCTCTATCTGCTAATTGCCACTGCATCCTAAATCATGGGGTATCACTTTCTTTAAGAGGCCAACTGTGATATCAATCTGGCACTGGAGAATAATCTCCATGTTTATTTAATTAAAAGACAATTTGTTTTCAGTCCCTTGATTCGTGAGGCACTGCAAGGACAACACAAAGAAGAACGAGATAAAAATCTCTGCTCTCGAGGCATAGAAAGAGTATGAGGCTTCATGAGCTTGTACTCTATGTAAAATAAAACAAAGTAAACTAACTGTCATGCAAGACAGGTAAATGACAGGCTGTTTATTAGAGAAATTTGCTAAGACTCTAAATGTAGGGAGATACAACCAAGTTCAGCCAAAGAAGTCCCCAGTAAGTTTAGAGTGGCACCTTTCTAATAATAATGAGTACCAAGTTATCGAAGATAGCATCCAAAGATATAAACATTCTCTTTTTTTGGAAATGGAAATTAAGCCTCCAGGTAGCAAAATACCAAGTTCTAATATATATTGAGAACTTTGTGTTCTAAATACTTTCTGTACACGTCTCATTTAGTCCTCATAACCCCATGGGGTGGATACCATTAATATTCCCGCGTTACAGATAAGAATCTTGAGGCACAGAAAAATGAAGTAATTTGCTGCACACATTTAAGCTCTATCTCCAGAAGCGCATTTAGTTCTCCCCTTTTCTCCCCTTCCTCCAAACAACTATAGTGTTGTTCTGAGGATTCCCTTCGCTCATCCAGGATTTCTGAAGAAAGCTCCTGCGTTACGCAATTTTATTTTCCATATTTCCATAAAGACAATATACCTTCAATTTTCAGAGCTTTGTAAGCTTGTGAACACAAATACATTCACGAGTCAGAGAAGGCTTCTTTCTGAAAATATCCCAATACTTTTGGATCTAGATATCTGATTGTTCTCTGCCTCTGTGGCAGGACCCATGGTGGAGTCCAGAGTCTAGCTGGAGGCCAGAGCTTGGCATAGGTGGGCTGCCAGGGAGGGGACTGCCTCTCCATGTGCATGGCATATGGCCAGATGACGCTCATACATGCCGAGTGGGCTGCCAACGAGCCATGGATACATATTCATTGAAAGTGCCTTGGAAATTGCAACTCCTCCTGTTTCCTTGCAGAGAGACTGCCACCTCCACCTGGAGAGTGTACTTTTGAACAAGATGAATGTGCGTTTACTCAGGAGAGAAGAAACCGGAGCAGCTGGCACAAGAGGAGGGGAGAAACTCCCACCTCCTACACAGGACCCAAGGGAGATCACACTACTGGGGTAGGTGAGTTATGCCACATGGTGCTGTTTCCTATGGAAACCTTCTAAAATAACATTCTAGGGATTGTTTATTGCATTTTGAAATGTGCAAATTTATGTCTTGTGTCTAGAATGAACTACACATGTGATTCCTCACACATGGGATAGATAATTCAATATGTGCACTTAAAATTATTCTTTCTGTTTATTGCATAGCTTATGTATGTTGCAGCAAAGAGGATTTAAATGGGCTTGTAAAGATACGCACACAAAGATAATTTAATTAGAAGTAGGTTAAAAATAAAAGACAAAGGGACAAAAGTGAAGAAAAAGAAATGTGGTGATCTAAACTGGAGCCAGGACTGAGCGTAGTATAGAAAATGTGCTGGCAGACAGGGGAGGAGATGTACAAGTTTGACTCTATGCTTTCCAGGAGCTGAAACAAAGATGGAAAACTCACCTGCAAAATATGAGTCATAGTGTCCTTAGGATAGAAACAGGTGAAGCAGTCCACCAAGGGGTATAGGAAATAATGGGGTACATTTTCTGTAGAAAATGTATAAACTACAATAAAACAGACTAAAAGTTGATCTCCTTCTCATTATCACCACATCTCATTACAATTGTGTCAGCAATTGTAAACAGCGTCAGTGATAAATTACTCCCTACGGAACAGGCCTTTCTCACCGACACTCAGTTTCACTTAGTGTGCCAGTTGGATAGAAGCACAGTATTTGGTCCAAAGAAGCAGAACTACCCCTGATGCTAGGCTCAGAGAGATACTTCCTAAAGGGCCCTTAGAGAGAAGGCATTATGATAGTAAGTGCAGAGGTAACTTGAATAGTACTGTCTCTTGTGGCCTACCTCAAGACAGGTCTACGGAATAACACCACAGAGCAACCTACAGCCTAACCTGTTTTCTAGTTGGCTAAACTTGGTAGGGTGCAATCAGAAATAGCTTTATTTTTTCTTTCCAACACTCTCTTCAAACTCACCCTAAAGGATTCTCCCATCTCCAGCCCCTGGCCGATCCCATAGCTTCCCAGTCCTGTTGAGGTATGAGAGCAGTCACGTATTCATGGATGTTAAAAAGGCCAATTCAGATCAAAACTTCAGTTTCTCATTCAATCAAATCATCTCTCTTTCCCTCAGCTTGGGCCTAACTCAGAGCTTTGGGGAAACTCTGTTCTTTCGTTTGTTTTGTTTCACTCTCTCCCTTACCCTTCATCTTCATGATCTTTTAGTCAGGGTGAATGGACGAGGGATGAAAAGAAAGGAACTTTTAAAATATTTGGTGCTATTTTCAATTCTCTCTTGGCTACTGAATGTCCTCTGTTATGACAGATATCTAAATATTGACTTTTTTGGGAACCGCTGCATTTTACCGTTTCTGGCAATGTACTCTCTGGCTAATATCCTGTGACCTCCTGTTCTTCCCTTAGCACTTAACTCTTCAGAGGTACAACCTACCTAGATTTTCTGCCTGGGTTCCACCTGTCAATCTTGGCTTGAGTCCTTTCAAGGACACTTGGTTCCAGCTACCCTCCCAGTGGGTATCCATCTGGCCTCCGATACCAATGCACTCTTGCCTGACTAAGAAGAAGATGTGCAGCTTGGTCCTCCCACTGACCTCTCTTTCCTTCCTGCTGCTTCAGCAGATTCTGGGACAGTGTTACTTCAGTAAGGGATGATGTTGAAGAGATTCAGCATTGATCGTAAAGTGGACCAGATTCCTACTGCCAGCACTAAGTAGAAGATTCTAATGGAGCTCTAAGAGTATATGAGGCTGTATCTGGAAGACCAGGAAGTTAAAAAGATAATGAGAAAGACTTGTATATGTTAAGACTGTTTTGGTTGGGAATAGTTTATCGTCCTTTCTAACAGACAAAATCCATTTTAGGGCTAACTTCAGGCACAACTTGATGCAGGGGATACAACTATGTCACCGGGAGCGAGTCTTAGATTCTCTCTCTCTGTCCGCCTCTCTGCTCTGATTTTTCTGGGTTGGCTCCAATCTTAAACAGGCTCTCCTCTCATGGTAGCAGTATGACTGCAGCAGCTACGCCTTTTAATACTAAGTCTAGTGGAAAGAGATAACTCAAACAAAAATACAAAAATTGAGTCTCATTGGCTCTGATTGGCAATGCCTTGAGGACAAGGTACTATCAAACTTGCTTTTGAATCCCCACAGGGCTTAATATTGTACCTTGTACACTATAGATCCTCCAAAATGTCTATGGAATGAATAAATGAATCTATAAGCCTTCACTGATGCATGTAAGAATAACTAACCATTTATTTAGCAAGACTCCTAGAAAATGGGATAGTGGGGAGGTACCCTTTTATTACAAGAGGAATAGAGAACAGTCAAGAATGAATCAGCTTTTGCTGGAGTCCATTTTAATCATGATGTTGTACGTAGGTACATTTTTCTGGGGAGAGGATTGATAGCTTTTCCTCCATTTCTCGGGGACACCAAGAGGGCTAGCAATAACAGAGCTGAGAAGAGGTACCCTCAAAGAGGGCTATGCTGTGGTGGTCTACCACAGGGGAATTTTCTGGGTAACAGGCTGTGGAATGTCTTGAACATGGAACAGCAGGCAAAGCAAAAATAGTAAGCAGTGGAGGGAGTCTCTGAAAAGGGCAAGGAGGGTCACCGGGCCGGGGTTATAACAGATCCCTGAATTTTGGAGTCAAGATTCCCCACTCACTAGGTATGAGACCTTGAGAAAGTTACTTAAAATCTCCAAGTCTCAGTTATGTCATCCAGAAAATGAGAATAATTATAGCTGCTTACCTTTTACCTACTTCAAAGGACGGTTGAGTTTAAAAACTGAGAGCTTTGGGATTAGACTGCCTAATTTGAGTCTCAGGTTGACTTTTCAACTTCTCTCAATCTCATTTTCCTTATTTGTATAGTAGGAATAATTAATAGCTATTTTATAGATTGTGGTGACATTTAAATGAGGTGATATATGGAACGTAGTATAGGACCTGGTATATAATAAGTACTCAATTAATGGCCTATTATTCATCTGTTCCTTCATTCAACAAATATTTACTCACTGCCTACTGCATGCCAGCCACCATTTAGGTACTTGGGAAAGACAGATAAACAAAACAGACAAAACAATTATTTGCCCTTGTGGAACTTCTATTTTAGTAGTTGGAGACAGATAATAAACGCTACACTTAGTTATAAATTATGTAGTATGTTAAAAGATGATAATTGCTGCAGAAAAAAATGGAGTGGAGCAAGGGCGCTTCGGAATTGGGAGGAGGATAGGGGGAAGTTAGCTAATCTGAATAGGAAAGTCACAGTAGAACTCATTGAGAAGGTAACCTTGAAGGAGCTGAGGTAGCTAGCCAAGGGTATATCTGGGAAGTGTTCCAAGTGGAGGAAACAGCCAGGGCAAAGCTCTTCAAGTAGAAGCATGCTCAATGTGTCCCAGGAATGGCCAGAAAGCTGGTTTAGCCAAGCAGAGTCAGCCAGAGAGACAGTACTCTAGCTCTCTCTAGAGAAATCAGAGAAATAATGGTAGGCCAGACCCTGGAGGACCTTGTCGTTAATTAGAAGGACTTTGGATTTTACTTTGCTTGAATGGAGGACACTGGAGAGTGTTGAGTTTAGGAGAGAAGTGATCTAACCTGGCTTTGAAAGGATCACTCTGACTGCTGTGTTGAGAAAACGCTGGGGGTGGAAGTGCAGCAAGAGTGAAATCAGAGAGCCCAGATAGGAGGATAATGCAAATAATCCAGGTGACCTATGATGGTGAATTTACAATGATGGTGGATCTACCAATGGCAGTGGATAGGATCAGGATAGTACCAATGGAGGTAGAGAGAAGTGGTCAAATTCTAGATATATTTTGAAAGTGGATCCTACAGCATTTCTTGATGCATTAGATATGGGTATAAGAGAAAGAGAGGAGTCAAGGATGATTTCAATGATTTTGACCTGAGCAACTGAAAAATGGAGTTGTCAACAACTAAATAGAAAAGATTGAGTGCATAGGTTTGTTGGGAAGATCAGGAACTCGGTTTTAAATATGTTCGATTTGAAATACCTAGTAGATATTGAAGTGGAGGTGTCAAGTAGGAAGTCTGGAGTTCAGGAAAGATGCTTAGCTGAAAGTTGTTGGCATATGGAGTGTATTTAAACCCTTGTGACTGGATGAGATCTTCAAGGGAGTGCTTGTAGACCCAGAAGTGGAAGAAGGGCTGAGCCTTGGGGCACTCCAAAGTTAAGAGGTCAGAGAGAAGAGGAAGAACCAGCGAAGGAGACTGAAAGGAGTGGCCAGTAATTATGAAGATATTATATTGATGCCACTGTCACAGCAGTTGTAGGAAGTAGAGACTCAACAAAAATGTCCCTTCCCCTCCATGACCTCTCCTTCCTTGGCTTTCTTATCATCGGTGGCAGTGGCCATTGCTGCTACCTCTGTCACTCCTATGCTAGTCTAGTCTACTTCATCTTTCTATGTTCATATCCATTTAATCTTCTCCGCTAGCTTATAAATAACTTGAGGGGCATGCCTTTGGACTCAGTATTAGTTTGCTAGGCCATGGCACAGAATTTGCCATGACAAAATACCACAGGCTGGGCAGCTTAAACAACGGAAATTTATTTTCTCAGAGTTCTGGAGACCAGAGGTTCAAGATCAAGGTGTCAACAGGATTGATTTTCCTCTGAGGCTTCTCTGCTTGGCTTGCAGATGGCCACCTTCTCTCTGTGTCTTCACGTGGTCTGTCCCTCAGTCTGTGTTGTCTGTATCTTAATCTCTTCCTTTTTTTTGTTTTTGAGGAAGATTAGCCCTGAGCTAACATCTGCCGCCAATCCTCCTCTTTTTGCTGAGGAAGACTGGCCCTGAGCTAACATCTGTGCCCATCTTCCTCTAATTTATATGTGGGATGCCTCCCACAGCATGGCTTGACAAGCAGTGCATAGGTCTGCACCTGGGATCCGAACCGGCGAACCCCGGGCCACTGAAGCAGAACGTGTGAACTTAACCACTGTGCCACTGG